GTGGAATGAAAAAAAAAACCATCAACTTAGAATTTTCTGTCGAAGAAAATTATCCTGATCTGGGCACAGTGGTGCACACCTGTAATTCCAGTGGCTCAGGAAGCTGAGGAAGGCTCTCAAGTTCAAAGCCAGCCTCAGCAATAGCAAGGTGCTAGGCAACTCAGCAAGACCCTGTCTCTAAATAAAAAAAAAAAAAAAAGAAAGAAAGAAATCATCCTTCAAACATGAATAGGAGAGGCTGGGGTTGTGGCTCAGAGGTAGAGCACTCGCCTAGCACGTGTGAGGCCCTGGGTTTGATCTTCAGCACCACATAAAAATAAATAAATAAAATAAAGGTATTGTGTCCAACTACAACTAAAAAATAAAATATTTAAAAAAATGAATAGGAAAAATGCTTTCTCAAACAAAGAAAAACTAAGATAATTTATCAAGATGACTTACCCTGAATAAATTATTAAGAAGGAATTCTTCAGGAAGAAGAAAATTTCTATATGTAAAAAATGAATCTACATAAAGAAAGGAAGACAAGGAAGGAATATGAAAGTAAAATAAAAATATTTTGGTTCTTTTATTCTTAATTGATCTAAAAGATAAATGTTCATTTAAAGCAACAGTGATAACAATGTAGTGGCTGATTATAGCACATGGATAGGTGAACTGAATAACAGGAATGTCAACAAGAATGGGAAAGAGAAATTGGGAACACTCAGTTATAAGGCTTCCACACTGTGTATGAAGCAGTCTAGCACTTTCTTTAAGTGAACTTAGATTAGTTAAAAATAATATTGAAAATTCAGAGGCAACACTTAAAAAGTTTTAAAAAGAAGTATAAATTATATAATAAAACAGATTAAATGAAATCATATAAAAATTTCAATTAAGACCAAACAAAAAGGGGAAAACAAAAGCAAGTAGAACAAATGGAACAAAATAATTTAATTAGAAAGATGGTAGATATTATCCAACTGCATAAAAAATTAGAAGGGTAGCCCTGTGCTCATGGCATATGCCTATAATCCCAGCTACATGGGAGGCTGAGGCAGGAGCATAGCAAGTTCAAGGTCAGCCTCAGCAAATTAGCAAGGTTCTAAGCGACTTAGTGAGATCCTGTCTCAAAAAAATCACAACATAAAAAGGCTGGGGATGTGGCTCAGTGGATTTAATCAGTGGTACAAAAAATTACAAGGGTAAAATGTCTGAAAACCCCAATTAAAAGATAAGATTCGCAGAGGAGATGAGAAATCAAGACCTAATTATATGTGTCCACAAAAAAGCCCCACTTTAAACATAAACAGTTTAAAAAGAAAGGCATGTGTCAGTTGCATTGGCACATGCCTGTAATCCCAGTTATATGGGAGACTGAGGCAAGAGGATCACAAGTTGCAGGTCAGCCTCTGCGATTTAGTGAGATCCTGTCTCAAAAAATAAAAATGGGGCTGGGGTTGTGGCTCAGTGATAGAGTGCTTGTCTGGCATGCATGAGGCACTAGGTTCCATCCTCACAACCACATAAATGTAAAATAAAGATATTGTCTCCACCTAAAACTAAAAAAATAAATATTAAAAAATTTAAAAAAAAATTTTTTTTTAAATGGCTGGGAATATAGCTCAATTGTAAAGGGCCCTGAGTTCAATCCCAAGTACCACAAAATGGCGATGGGAATGGGAGTAACATCAACAAAAATGAAATAAGAGGGAACTCTTGAGTGTGGCCTGGCTAATGGTAAAGCACCCTGGTACCAACAACAACAACAACAACAAAATCCTGTCAGAATTAACTTTACAGAACTCTGGGAGACAAAAGTTATACCAAAGAAAATACCAGGAGAAAGTTGACTGAAACACTGTAGGAGATCTGGATGCCATTTTAACTAACCTATTCAGAATTCATAAAAATGACAAAAAGTCTGAGACATTATTAGAAATAATCCAAACAAAAGCTGTGTAAGGGCCTAACCAAGAAAACTTCTTCCATTTATAGAAGTTCATAAAAGTGAACTAAATGAGTAAATTTTCGGGCAGGGGGTAGCGGGGGTTACTGGGGACTGAACCCAGGAGAGCTTAACCACTGAGCCATATCCCCAATGCTTTATATTTTGTTATTTTGAGACAGGGTCTCACTAAGTTGCTTAGGACCTCACTAAGTTCCTGAAGCTAGCCTTGAACTTACAATCTTTCTGCCTCAGTCTCTAAAGTCAGTGGGATTATAGGTGTCTGCCTCCTGTACTCAACTTTTAAAAATAGGAAAAGGGGCTGGGGATGTGGCTCAAGAGGTAGCGCGCTCGCATGGCATGTGTGCGGCCCGGGTTCGATCCTCAGCACCACATACAAACAAAGATGTTGTGTCCGCCGAAAACTAATAAAATAAAATAAATTTAAAAAAAAAAAAAAAAAAAAAAAAAAAATAGGAAAAGTCAGGTTGGCAAAGATGCCCATTTTCCCTATATTATCTACAAGATTAATGTAATTCCAATCATAATTACCAAAAAAAATATATAAGTCAACTTGTTAAGCCAACCCTCAAATTTATTTAAGATGAAAGGGCTAGAGAAAATGAGATGAAAAAGAACAAGGTTAGAAAGCTACAAATGATTGCTTAAATTTAAAAACCTAAAAATAACTGGGCTGGGGTTGTAGCTCAGTGGTAGAGCACATGCCTGGCATGTGAGAGACATGGGTTCAATCCTCTTAAAAATAAAGTTATTATGTCCATATACAACTAAAAAAAATAAAAATAAAAATTAACAAATTTAAAAAAGTAACTAAAAGGAATATGGAAAGAACAAGGTGGTAGAGACATTAACAGAATAAACACAAGACTTCTCTTTGCCCTATGTTTTTTTTTTTTTTTAAGTTGTAGATGGGCACAATACTTTATTTTATTTATTTATGTGGTGCTTAGGTTATCAAACCCAGGATATTAAACATGTGAAACAAGCACTCTACCACTGAGCCACAACCCAAGCCCTCTCTTTGCTTTTTATATTTGTTTTATATATATATACTTTAATATAATTGATTTTTATATATTTGACTTTCTAACCATATAAATATTTTATATAATTATAAAACAAAAGCTATACCTAAAAAGCAAAAGCAAAATAAAACAAATAAAGTGAATCATTTATCAGTTTGTAGCTTAACCAAAGAGAAATTACTTCTAGTTATTTTAAAGCACAATAATTGGACTAAACTTCCCTAGAGGGATCTACCCTTATAACAATAGATCTATAAAGAAATGTGAGCCAGGCACGGTGACACAGGAGGCTGAGATAGGAGAATCACAAGTTCAAAGCCAGGCTCAGCAATTTGGCAAGGCCCTAAGCAACTTAGTGAGACTCTGTCTCTAAATAAAATACAAAAATGGGGCTGGGGATGTGGCTTAGTGGTTGAGTACCATTTTAACTAACTGACTCAGGTTAAATTCAATCCCTAGTACCAATTAAAAAAAAAAGTAAAATTAGTTTTAGTAGGAATGTTAAGTACTGATAAAGTTGTTCTGAAACTTTACTTTTTTGTACCAGGGATTGAACCCAGAGGCGCTTAACTGCTGTGTCACATCCCCAGTCCTTTTAAATTTTTTTTTTTTTTTAATTTTGAGATAGTGTCTTGCTAAGTTGCTGTGGGCCTTGCTAAATTGCTGAGGCTGGCTTTGAATTTGCAAACCTCCTGCCTGATTCTCTGGAGCTGCTGGGATTATAGGCATTCCCCACTAAACCTGGCCTGAAACTATCTATTTATACATACATATATGGATGGATAGGTAAGCAAATAAAAGATACAAAAACAATACCAAAGTTAAAATCCTGTAATTCTAAATTTTAAATAATAGAAAGAACAGTATGAACTCATGTCTATTTTGTTAAGAATATATTTCCTGCTATAAGATTAATGAACCCATGACAAGTGAAAAAAAGCCTATCCAAAAAGGTTACATGATTGTCTGACTTCATGCATTATGAAATGTTTGGAATATGCTAAAGAAATGTAAAGGGACAGAAGGCAGATTATGGTTGGTTAGGCTGGGTGGGAATGAGGGAATATTATGGGAATAACTGCTAATGAGTACAATGTCACTTTTAGCAGAGACAAAAAAAATGTTCTAAAATTTTATTGTGGTGATAGTTTCACAGCCCTGTGTGTGTATGTATGTATACATATGTGTGAATGTGTGTGTGTATATACACACACACATTCACACATATGTATATTTTTTAATGGAATTGTATACTTCATTTATTTAGGTACTGGAAATTGAAACCAAGGGAGCTCTACTGAGCTACATCCTCAGCTAGCTTGCTTGCTTATTTATTTATTTATCTCTATCCATCTATCTATTTATCTATCTATCTATTTATTTATTTATTTGTACCAGGGATTGAACTCAGGGGCACTTGACCACTGAGCCACACCCCCAGCCCTATTTTGTATTTTATTTAGAGACAGGATCTCACTGAATTGCATAGCACCTCACTTTTGCTGAGGCTGAATTTGAACTTGTGATCCTCCTGCCTCAGGCTCCCAAGCCACTGGGATCGTAGGCATGCCATATCGTGCCCCACTTTTATTTTATTTTTTATTGATTAAAAAAAATAACAGCGGAATGCATTACAATTCTTATTACACATATATGATACAATTTTTAATATCTCTGTTTGTATATAAAGTGTGTTGACACCCAATTTGTGTCTTCATACTTGTACTTTGGATAATGATGTGTATTACATTCCACCATCCTTGCTAATCCCCTGCCCCCTCCCTTTCCCTCCCACCTCTCTGCCCTATCTAGAATTCATTAATTCCCACTTTTATTTTTTTATTTTGAGACAGAGTCTTGGAATTGTCTACTTTAAATGGGTAAAATGTGTATGAATTATATCTTAATTGAACTGTTAAAAAAAAAAAAAAGAAAATATTTCTTAGCTCTGTTCACGCAAGCACACAAAAATTAGAAATAATAGTAAGGGGCTGGGGTTGTGGCTCAAGTGGTAGCACGCTCACCTGGCATGCGTGTGGCCCAGGTTCCATCCTCAGCACCACATACAAACAAAGAGGTTGTGTCTGCCTAAAAACTAAAAAATAAATATTAAAAAATTCTCTCTCTCTCTCTAAAAAAAAAATAATAATAGTAATAAGCACTACAATTGTGGGTTTTTAAATTTTCTTTCTTTTTTTTTTTTAGTTCTGGAAAAAAAAGACACAATACCTTCATTTTATTTATTCTTTTTTGTTGTTGTTGTTTTTTAACGTGATGTTGAGGATTGAGCCTAGTGCCTCACACATGCCAGGCAAGTGGTCTACCACTGAACAATAACCCAAGCCCTATAACTGTGGTCTTAAAATACCATTTCCTACTAAAAGGAATCAAGGTACCTCACAAAAAACTGACTTCATGCCTCAGGCAGTAAATGTTCCAAATGATCCAGGGTCTCCTATCATAACAGAAATGTAGGACACTAGGCTAGAGTTGTAGCTCAGTGGTATAGCACTTGCCTAGCATGTTTGAGGCAGTTGGTTCAATTCTCAGCACTGCAAATAAATAAAATAAAGGTACACTGACAACTAAAAATATGTGTGTGTGTGTGTGTCAAAAAGAAAATAAATGCAGGACACTATCAAAGACTACTGGGGATGTTTTCAAAGGACTCAGAAGCTATTCTGAAGAGTGAACAAAGATGAGGAATATGAGCTTCAAAACAAAAGTAACTGTGGGGCTGGGGTTGTGGCTCAGCGGTACAGCACTTGCCTTGCATGTGTGAGGCACTGGGTTTGATTCTCAGCACTGCATAAAAATAAATAAACAAAATAAAGGTATTGTGTCCACCTACAAATATATATATATATATATATATATATATATATATATATATATATATGAAAGTAACTGTAAATATTTGAAACCACATAAAAGATGTTAAAATTGATGAATATATAATGGTAATAATAAGACTAAGAGATGAGAGGAACAAATTCAATATCCCAAAACCCTACAAATAGAAAGAATCCATTTATTCTCTCTTGCACATACAGTGCAGAAGAGTGAGTAAAAGCTGATGAAGGAAATTTATTTCTTAGGAAATTTTTCTGACAATTAAATGAACCAGGAATAACAACTCAAATATCCCTGGATTATTGCAATAGTTTCCTAACTAGTCTCTCTGCTTCTTGCCTTTCTCCCTCTCTACCCTTTCTTCATTCTTTCTCTAGTAGTCCATTCTCACCAGAGCAGACAAAGCACTACTCATAAAGTGTAAACAGATAATGTAACTCCCATGCACAACTCTCCAACAGCTTCCCATCAAAGCCAAAATCACTACTACATTCCATAGGCCAAACCTGATCTGCCCTCCTCTCCACTTAGATTTCATCTCTCTTTTCCCCCAACTCTCCCCACTTCATTTGCTTTATTTAAACCACAAGCATGTTGCCACCTCAGGATTTTTATAACTCTTATTCCCTTTGCATGTGATAACCTTTCTACAGTTATACACATAAATTATTCCTTTACATCTTTATTACTATCTTTTTAAGATGCTTTCTCTGACTGCCCCATCTAAAACACTAATTCCCATCTCTAATTCTAAATATGCTCCCACATTATATTTTCTCTTAGCATTTTTCACCATTTAATAAATTTTATATTTAATTTACTTACCTTGTTTATTATCTGGCCCACAACAGCGTAAGTACCATGGTATCAGGAGGTTTGTCTCTTGTTCACACTTATATCCCAAGCACCTAGGATTTGTGCCTGCTACACAGCCAGCATTCAATACATGGTGAGTCTATGAATACTCCTTAATGCAAGAACAACTCTGGAAAAGAAATTTGAAAAGAGAACACTACTTCAGAAAACATATAATTCACACACAAACAAAGATTTTTAAAAATGCTTGACTTCGGTAGTAATCAAATATGCGAAAATTAAATTTCTATAGCAAAATAAAATTGTAACTATGAGGTTAACAAAGATTACTATTATTTATAATATCTATTGTTATCATGAGTGTGATAACAATAGATATTATATTATCATAGACAATATAATATCTATTGTTATCACAATAATAATGACAATAATAATGCATATTATTGGACTCTTACATTGGGAATAATTGGAGAGATTTAGGAATTCTTTGGGACATATATTTTGATCTATTAATTCCACTTCTAGGAAACTACCCACCCCCTCAAAAAAATAATGAATAAAAAAGAGCTCTGGGCTGGGGTTGTGGCTCAGCGGTAGATAGCTCGCCTAGCACGTGAGGCCCTGGGTTCGATCCTCAGCAACACATAAAAACAAACAAACAAAATAAAAGCATTGTGTACAACTAAAAAATAAATATTTTAAAAAAATAAAAAGAGCACTCTGAAGCTGGGTGCAGTGGCCCATGCCTGTAATTCCAGGGGCTCGGGAGGCTGAGGCAGGAGGATCCCAAGTTGGAAGCCAGCCTCAGCAACAGTGGGGCTCAGTGAGACCCTGTCTCTAAATAAAATACAAAAAAGGGCTGGGGATGTGGCTCAGAAGTTGAGTGCCCCCGAGGAGTTTAATCCTTGGAACCAAAAAAAATAAAAACCCACTATGAAATGTGCCAAATAGTTCCTAATAAGCAAAGTGTTGATAACACTTTGCAATAAGTTAAAAGATCCAACCTACCCAACAGGGATAAATGTATTGAAAGATATTAAAAAAAAAAAACTAAAATGAAGGCATAAATTTGTAATAGTTTAATGTAAAGACACTAATTATGTATTGTTAAATGAGAAAGTAGGTTATAGAATATGTGTAAGTTAGCTTGCAATATTTAAGTCATTATGCACATATGTAAAAAGAGAAATGCATGCCTATGTATTCACAAAGGGTAGGGTAAAAAGATGGTTAATAAATGTTGGCAGTGGTAGTGAAGCTGGTAGAATTATGAATGATTTTTATTCTCTGAGGTTTTCTGTATTCTGCGATTTGGGGAGTGGAGGGGAGTAAGGAAAATGAATTTCGCACGTACATAAATCACCTAATATATGAAAACAAGGCTAAAAATAATAAAATATTCAAGTGTTGGGGCTATTGATGTTTCATATAGAAATACACTTCCAATTACCAAAACGAAACAAATGCAGCACCCGTTCAGTCTCATCTACCGACAAAACCCGACCCTACCTTCCGTCCTCGCAGTGTCTCATTCACTCTCGATCCCACAGTCACGCATGTTCGCAGCCACGATCACAACTAAACATAAAAGGGAAAGCGCAATGCCAATCACAGCACGCCATGCGGTCACGGTCCTTCACACGCCACTGCCACGGTCCCAGGGAACCAACCACACAGGCATCGCCCCTCACCGCGTTCCTCTTCCAACGACACCTGCGCGGGTCCGCAGGCCCCTACTCCCACCCAGCACAAAGAGTCCCAGGCTCCATGCTCCAGGGTTTCCGAGGACTCACCACCCAGCCCACTGACACAGGCCGCGAGTCCACTCTCCGGCGCCGCCCAAGTGGCACGGCCCGCGAGGGCTATCATAGGGAGCCACCTAGGTCGGCGGTGGCGGTGGCAGTGGCGGAGAGCAACACTAGGCCAGATCCGTTAGATACCGGGTAACACTTCCCAGAGGACCCCGCGGCTCACCCCTGCAGGACTGGTCTTCCTATTTACAAGCTGTGTGAATGCAAACGGCGGCATTTAAGGGCACGCGGCTCCGCGCCAGAGGATCATCTTGAGGTTTTGTGGGAGCTGCCTCCCTTGAAACCCATTTTTAAGAGCCTGGGAGCGCAACTTGATACTGAGAAGAATCTGAAGAGGTCCGCCGCTTTCTTACTGGGGACTACAGCTCCCAGAAACCTTCCCGGCACAACACTAGTTTCTGTAAAAAGGCACTTCCTCTTTACGTCGGCTGGATCGGCCGATTGAAGGCGTTAGGCTATGTGGTCCGTGAGAGTCCCGCAGCTCAGTCAGTTTAGTTCCGTCTGGTGGGGGCTCCGCCCTAGACTGATATGCTCCTTTGAGGTGAAGGTGGGGAAAGATTAAAGGTTCTTGGAGGCCCGGTCGGTCTGAACGTCAAGCTTCCAGCGGCACTGTGAAGAAGTGATGTAATATGACTGTGTTTGTGTGAAACTTCGGCCACAGAATTTGGAGTTTGGTGAATTTTGAGATTGTGTGTATGTGATTGTGTGTGTGTGACGCAATGGTCGCGTCATGTGTTCTCGTCACTGACCTGCAACATGATCGGAAACGGCATTTTGTTTTCTTTTTCTTCCCGCGATCCCGGTGCTGGAGGTTGAACCCAGGGCCTCACACAATGGTAGGCATGCGCTCTACTGCTGAACTACATTCCTAGTCCTTTATAGTTTTATTTTTACCCAGGATCTTACTAATTTTGCCCAGGCTGGCCTCGAACTTGGGATCCTCCTGCCCCAGCTTTCTCAGTAGCTGGTATTACAGGCATGCTCCACCTAACTCGGCTGAAATGATATACATTGGTCTATTCTTTCCGAAATCCTGGATTGTATCTGTGACAGTGTTACTGGACTGATGACCTGAAATTGTGCATGATTGATGGAGTAGTGTCTCCAGACTATTTGGATTCTAAACAGACTCAGCCATTTACCAGCAGTGTGACTTTGGACTAACTGGTTAAATTCTCTGCCTTTGTTCTTAATAGTCTTAATTAAGAGAAAATAGTAACTCCCTCAAAGGATTTCAGTGAGAATTGAAAGGGTTCATTCGGGTAAAGCTGTTTCCAAGAGTGACAGTTCAAGTATAACAGTTTTTATCTGAGGCCAGAGATTTACAGATCTCATCAGGAGTTTAGATCAAATCAGAAGTTTAGACTTCAGTCAAAAACGCAAAGTAGGCTCTTTGAGAAGAAAAGAGGCTCAAATATCAGGAATTCTCATTTTCCCCAATCGAGATTTTACACTGGAACTCCTACATAAGCCTAATGAACTTTAGAACATACAGTACTTCCAGTCCAAAGTGCTCCTCAGTATGCTGCTGTGAACTTGGGGAAGAATGGAGTCCCACACAGTAGAGAGCCTGACCTTTCTCTTTCACAATAAGGAACAAAATGGTTTTAATCTCTCTTTTAATGCAGGTGGTTGGATGTGGAGCACACCCTCTGAGTTGTTTTGTGGGACAGTTATAAGTGAAGACCTGGTGTCTCATGACTCCTACTTCCTTCCTCAGCTCTGCTTTTCTCCAAGAAAAGTGTTAGGGTTTCCTATTTTTCTGTTTCATTTTTTTTTAATTAAATTAATACCATTAAGACCTGCTTGTATTTCAGGACATAACATTTCCTATATTTTTAAAAATGTAATATTGTTTATTTAACTTCAAAAACATTTCAGCATTCTAAACATACAAAAAAAATAACAACATTGCAAATTGCATTTAAGTACAGAAGGTTCTTGAACTTTCATTGATGCAGTGGCTCTTTGCTTTGCTGACAATGAAGAGTTCTACAGTTTGTTTGAAAACAAAGTTTAAAATCTACTGTACTTAACTAAAAAAAATTTAAATACTTCTCATGCCAGCTGACCCCCCCTTTTTCTACAACTAACAAAGGCAGCAGATTGCTATATCACTACATACAAAAATAAAACAACATGAAGCTAAATGGATGCCCACCACAGTGTCAACAGGTCCAGCCTCACAGTGCACATCCTGAGCTATGGCCCCTCCAAAAGGCATCTTCCCGCACAGCCTCAACGCTAGGCAAGGAGCATCAAGAGTTTGTCTTGGTTGTTTTGTTCTTTTTACAGACTATAGATACATACAGTTGGTAACTGAGGACTTCTAACCAATAACCATATAGTTAACACCACCTTACAAATTTTTTAAAAAGTGCCAGAAACATCTTCAAATGCCTTGTCAAACCAACAGCAAAATGCATAGAGTGAGGAGAACCCGAGAGTGCCTTTTCATTTTAAAAATGTTTGGAAATATGTACAACTTTGATACAGTTTTAGGGTGCTCTGGACCCCAGGGCCACTTCATGTAAACCACTGACAATTTCTAGAGCACTTTGAGAGACTACTATCGTGATCAAATTCTGTAATTAAACCTAATGAGAATAACAGACACATCTCACATAAGATGTGTCAATCATGGTGCTCCCCTACTCTAAGGAGATGGATAAAGTTTTTTATTCATCCTCCTTCTCCTCCTCTTACACATTTTTCCAGGCAACTTTAGCAGGACCCTTTGAGCCATCAAACTTTCCTTTAGACTTATAGTCAGCAACATCCTTCTCGTATTTCTCCTTCAGCTTTGTGGCCTTAGTGATGTATGGCTGCTTTTTGCTGTCACTTAAGTTATTCCACATCTCACCCAGCTTTTTTGCCACATCTCCAATGGAGATACCAGGATTTGTGGACTTGATCTTGGGGCGGAAATCTGAACAGAACAGGAAGAATCCAGACGGTGGTCTTTTGAAGGCATTGGGGTCCTTTTTCTTCTTGCCTCCCTTAGCTGGTTCATAATCCTTCATTTCCCGATTATAGCATACTTTATCCACCTTTGCCATTTCATCAAATTTAGATCTCTCTTTCCCAGACATTGTCTTCCACCTCTCAGAGTACTACTTGGAAAATTCAACAACATTGACAGGAACTTCTGGATTTTTCTTCTTCTTCTTTTTTTTTTTTTTCCAAAACTTTTTAAGTTCTGGTTGGACACAATATCTTTATTTTATTTATTTTTATGTGGTGCTGAGGATCAAACCCAGTGCCTCGCAAGGGCTAGGCTAGCGCTCTACTGCTGAGCCACAACCCCAGCCCCTGTGGGTTTTTCTTCTTATGTTTTTCTTCTTATGTTCTTCTCTCAAAGTCTGCACAAAGAAGGCGTAAGCAGACATCTTGCCCTTTGGTTTCTTGGGGTCACCTTTAGCCATGCTGACTAGTCTGGGCATCACAGGGCACAATGGGTGGCTCAGCGCTCCCCAGCCTCATGCTAGCTGTCTCCATGAGAGCCGCCTGACATTTCCTATATTTTAAAACTTGGGGCAGATAGTGATTCATTTTGGAGTTTGTTCCCTGTCCTTCCTATACCCAGTTTGCTGTGGGCACTGTTCTTAAGCTTAGGAACATTCCTTCTGGTATATCATGGTTTATACAACACAGCCTGATGTTTCAGATTCCTTTTTAAAAAAAAAAATTGTCCTAAATCATATTTTATGGCCGGGCACAGTGATACACGCCTGTAATCTGGGCGATTCCACAGACTGAAGCAGGAGGATCACAAGTTCAAAGCTAGCCCCAGCAACTTATCAAGGCCCTAAGCAACTTAGCAAAACCCTGTCTCAAAATAAAACATAAAAAGGACTAGGATATGGCTCAGTGGTTAAGCACCCTGGGTTATTTATACCTGGTATCAAAAAATAAAAATCATACTTTATGGAATTTCCCTTGAATATATATGTTTCAGCATACGTACAGTTATTTCCATAGTCTCATTTCTGAAAATGGATTCTTTAGCTCAAATATTAGAAATCTAGGAAAGTCAAAGACCTGTGTCAGGAGATTTTAGATGCATTCAAAAGTAAAGTAGACACATTTGCTTTCTGAAATTATTATAGCCCAGTAAGAAAATGAAATGTAAAAATACCCTGGAAATTTACTCCGAATGCACAAGAGTAAAAGTTTATTTTGCTTCAACTACTATTTGAAGACCTTTCGGGAGCTGCTCTAGATGCGGATGACCTTCAATTCCTGATCCTGGGGGTTCTGACCAATTACTACATTTCGTAGTGACTTGGGCATTGTCCCAGCTCTGATAGCAAGGCGTACGTGTGCCCACTGGGGTTGAGCTACACTCACCTATTCCTTTTGTAATCCTACCCCTTGCCTCATTTGAATGGCTTCTCCCCAATAATAATAAAAAAGGGGTTCAGCAGTGCTCTCTCTTTTTTTCACGGACCCCTAAGGTCAGAGGAGCCATCACAAGACCCAATAGAACAGTACCCCACTTCCAAAAGATAGTGTTTCTGAGCTAGATGTTCACCTGAGTCCTTAGTTGGGAGAGCCCTGCACCCAAGGACACCATAAAAAAAAGTCCAAAAGGGGTTGGGGTTGTGGCTTGGTGGTAGAATGCTTGCCTAGCATGTGTGAGGCATTGGGTACAATTCTCAGCACCACATATAATTAAATTAATAAAATAATGTCCATCAACATCTAAAAAAAAGTTTAAAAAAAAAAGTCCAAAAGTCAGAGGCTTAAACTTCATTTTCCCAACAAGCTTCTTCAAGGATTATTTTTTGTTCATTGTTCTCTAGAAATTCTGTGGGTTTAACTGGATTAAGATGGGGGAAAGCAAAGTGCTATGGGAAACAAGAATATCCTCACTCCTGGGGTGCTCTTTGTCTATGGGTGGTAAATAGAAGCAAAGCTATTATCTTTCTAATTTTATTACTACATTTCCTCTTTATACTGCTCTATTTCATGAACATAAGCTTAATCCTTTCTTAATTCTAGTGGTGGAATACAATTTTCTTCTCTATATATAACTGATTCTTCTATTATACCTTTATTTTTCCTATCATTCCTATTTTTAAAAAACATTTTTTAGTTGTAGCCCAGAATGGTGGCGCACATGCATGTAATCCCAGTGGCTTGGGAGGCTGAGGTAGGAGGATCACAAGTTCAAAGCAAGCCTCAACAAAAACAAGGTGCTAAGCAACTCAGTGAGACCCTGTCTCTAAAATATAATACACAAGAGGGCTGGGGATGTGGCTCAGTGGTATAGTGCCCCTGAGTTCAGTCCTTGCTACCAAAAAAAAATTTTTTTTTAGTTATAGATGGACAAATTACCTTTATTTTATTTATTTATTTTTATGTTCTGTTGAGGATTGAACCCAG